TTAAAGTTGTAATGAGGCAAAAACCCATTAAGGTTTACCCAAGTAAACCTGAGACTATCTGTTCTGCAACAGGTACCATGGAGAAGATAAAAAGGCGAGGGACAACCTGGGAGGATGTATTTGTGGGTTGTGAAAATAAAGGGTGAGTACCAAGAATATATGAATAATTGCCTGAAACAGAAAAAGAGAATTCTACTTGAAAAGGAGCCAAGAGTCGTGCATGGACATTTCACATTAGAGAGCTTACAAAGGGCCCACGGAATTTTTTTGAAAAGTTGCTTTATCTCCTGAGTAATCAGGGACATAGTATTTCACTTCCACTGGGCAAAAATTCACAAAATCCAGGGATGTCAGGTGTGAATGGCTTAAACTTCCATCCAGTATCAGTGGGAGGGTAAGTTGGTGCTCTTACTTGGGAAGTGTCTTGGCATTACCTGGCAAAGCTGAGCAGACAGATCACCTGTGACTCAGCATTCCTCAAAATAGGGCCCCAGATCAGCATCCCCCTGGGAGCCTCTTAGAAATACACAATAGGGGCCCCATCCTGGACCCACTGGGTCAGGATCTGCATTTAGATGCCCACTGGAAACCCCTGGCGAGCTTTTAAAAGTCCAGCCCCTGGAAAGCTTTTAAAAGTCCAGGTGTCCAGGTGGCATGCAGACCAGTTAATTGTAATTTTTTTTTTTTACAATTTTAAAAAAGCTTCTCAGTAATTTCAACATGTAACTGGAGTTCAGAAGCAGCAACCAGAAAGTCTCTCCTATCAAGAGAAATACAAAAATATCTTTAAATAGCAAAAATCTAGAAGATAACCAAAATGTCTACCAACAGTAGATCACACACACACACACTCACTCACACACACACACACACACACACACACACACATTTTTACTTACTGTAAAGAAAAGCTGGGGAATGACTAATAGGAAATTCAGGATAGTGGGGTGTGGAAGGAGAAGGCATGTCATGAGAGAATGGGGGAGAAGGCGAGTTTCTAAGGTCCTGGTAATAGTGTTTCTTAGGTTCAATTGTGGGAATGTGGGTGTTCATTTTTTCCCCTTGAACTATAAAAATCAGCTTTATCTACACTTTTGGATACAATCGTAAAGTTTAAAAAATGTTTTAAGAGGGCATCTTTCGTATCAGTTCCTCTGAGCCCCCTCCTTCAATGCACCATGTCCTTCCCCAGACATCTTTCCTGCTCTCCTCCGAGCTGGTTCTCTCTGTCTTTGCTCAGAGGTCAGGGCTGAGAGGACCCAGTGCTCTACCCAGTTTTATCCCAGAGAATCTGGCCCACTCCAGGTCCCATCTTAGACAGTTCTGCATGGGCTCAAGGTCTACATGTGCCTCACAGGCCCATGAAAGGGGCATCTGGAAGCCCAGAGATGTCCTGAAGGGAATTCGAATAGGAGACAGTGTCTGTGCATGTCTGGGAACTCCTGGGTCCTCTCCACCCAAACCCAGACAGAGCCAGACAGGGCCAGGTGTCAACAGGCTGGGGCCTGCCAAAGTGGTAAAGCACTTAGCAGCAGAGTAATGATTAAGTAACAACACAGCGAGGGCACCGGCAGGGTAGACTGTCTTAACCTAGAGTTTCCGAAGTGTTTTCTGTTTTGCTTTAAACCCAAGCTTGCCATCCATTTAATGAGTGGGTCCAAGCCCCCATTACCTCTTACAAAGCATTTCTAACTGCAGAATTTCATCTGATCCTACCGTGACTGCGGTAGGGATTACTACCATTTTAGAGATGAAGAACAGCCTCGGAGCATTTAAGAGAATCGTGCAAGATCACACGGTTACCATGGTACAAAAACTCACAGCCAGGCCTGCTGTCTCCAAGATTCTTCCAATTGTCTCACCTGCTCCTAGGTCTGGAAATGCTTCTGCACTTGCCTCCCGCACGTCCAGAGATGCCCTCCTTATGCAGACAGCTCTGCCCAACCCATGCCCCTCCCTCTGGGTGTTTGCCTGCGGGATAAATTCAAGCTCCTTAAACTCTCCAGAGTCCGCACTCACCGTTCTTGGAATTCAAAAAATATTGGCTTTAAAAGAGCCTGTGGATACTACTACCTAGCTGAGTGTTTTTAATCCTCCGGAATCACTGATACCTTTGAGATTCTGCTGAGATGGTGGACCTTCTTCCCAGCAAAATGCCCACAAGTGCAGCATCTTAAAGGGGCCACAGACTCCAAGAACTCTCGTTAAGAATTGCAGATCAAGTCTTGCAATTTTGGTGTTTTCTCCAAAAAGTGAAAATAGGATTGTCGTATGATCCAGAAATTCCACCTCTGGGTGTATACCCGAAAGAATTAAAAGGAGGATCGCCAACCTCTATTTATACACCTGTGTTCACAGCAGCATTTTTCACAATAGCTGAAAGGTGGACACAACCCAGATGTCCATCAGTGAATGAATGGATAAACAAACTGTGGTATATACACACAGCAGAAAATTATTCAGCCTTAAGAAGAAATAAAATGTCACAACATGGGTGAACCTTGACATTATAGTAAGTGACATAAGCTAGTCACAAAAGGACAAATGCTGTGTGATTCTACTTACATGAGGTACTTAGAGTAGCCAAACTCTTAGAGACAGAGAGGAGGAGGGTGGCTTCCAGGGCCTAAGGGAGGGCGAAATAGAGTTATTGTTTCTTGGGAACAGAGTTTCAGTTTGGAAAGATGAAAAAGTTCCGGAGGTGGATGGTGGTGATGGCTGCACAAAAATGTGAATGAGCTGTAGACCTCAAATTGGTTAAAATGGTGTATTTTATGTTACATATATTTTCCCCTGGCTGGGAAGGAATAGGGCCAGACCAGGCCTCCTTGTCCCAGGTCTGCGCCCCAGGCCCTCTGCCTGGGCAAGCCCTGCACAAGCTCCTGCAGGGAAGACTGTGTCTATTCTGCAGAAATCCTGGTGGGCAAGGCCTCAGGGAAGAGGTGGCATCGAGGCTGGGAGGCTCCGGACGTGCTGTTTATATGAACTTTATCTGCTGGCTTAGTAACCCTCGCACACAGGGGCATAAGATCTACCCAGAATGACTGGTTCTCTCTAGTTAAAGCAGCACTTTCTTGGGGAGTAAGGCAGTGCCATCCAGTGGGGTTCCAGACCAATTATTGTAATGAAAGATCTTACCAATGTTTTAAACCACTTCCCATGAGTTCTGAAGGATAGGTTTGGGTGTTCCTCTATAGGAAGACTTACTGACAATATAATTAAACCTCAAAAAAAAAAAAAAACCCTTCGCAACACCCATCCATTAACATTTTGCTGAGTATCCAGTTCTTTGTCCAACTTGGTGGGGGTGGAGGGGTGGAGTGAAGAGGGAGATCACACACAGGAGCTATTTGGTTATCAGTTTTACTGTGTAACACTGTATTTTTTTAAAATTCTCTTAATGGAGGTGCTGGGGATTGAACTCAGGACCTCATGCCTGCTAAGCACACGCTCTACCACTGAGCTGCACCCTCCCCTAATAACACTGTATTTTGATCATTTTGTCACATCACTAATTGTCGTTCTGTAGCATCATCTATGATGGTTACAGAATTGTGTATTGTATGGACATAATCAAAATGAAATCCCTTTTGCTGGAAACTTAAATGGTTTGCAAGTTTTCACTTTTACTAACAGTGTAGCAGTGATTATCCCATCTAAGCCCACGCCATCATCTTCATTGTTTCCTAAGGACAAATTCCTAGAAGCCAAATTGCTAGATTAGGCTTTTGATTCAAAGCATACTTTAGAACATTTGTACCAATTTGGTGTGTAAATTAGCAGTAAAATTTCAAAGTACCCATTTATCCAAACCATTACCACCAGTGGGCATTATAATTCAAATATTTATACCAACCTATAATTTAAAACGGCCTCTCATTATTTCAATGTGTGTATATATATATATATATATATATATATTTGATATAGTCATTTGATTGATTGAACCTACACATGATCATTATGGACAATAACCTCTTTCTTTGATACTCTCTTCCGTCCTGTGCCCTTTGATAAAGTGCACCTCCTCACTTGAATATTAAATATATTTTTACATTATCTGTCACATGCTTTATAATGTCCTCCCCGTTTGTCACTAGATGATGCTATTTGCTACTATGAAAGTTTCATATTTTTAATAAATAAAATCTAGAAATGTGTTCCTTTTTGTGGTTTCATGCAGTAATTGTATGGCCACGTTCAGGTGAGCACAGAACACTGCAGCAGCTCTTGGCAGGGGCTAGTTTCGCGGCAAGGGTAGGGAAAGAGGGGACATGCAAGCAGCAAATAGGATCAGAAACCAGGTCTTTGGAACCCGGGGTTAGCTGCTCTCTAGCCCCAAAGGCAGGCTGCTGGTTGTGCTTCTTTCCCTCCTGGGTCTCCTGGGAACAGTATCACCTGTGGCGCTTCGCTGATGACCCCTTCAGGTGAGTCGCGCCCACCCTTGCAAGGCCCCCCATTGTAGGCACTGACCAAAGACCAGGAAGTAGCCTGCAACGTGCCGGAACACACATTCCTGGGAGCACAGCCCCGCGTCCCCTCGCCTCCCCTCCACCACCGTCCCTCGCACTGCGAGCTCAGGGCTGTGCTGAGAGCTGAAGACAAGCGTCCCTCGGGGGCTCTTTTTCTGGTCAGTGGTTAAAGGGCTGGGAGGACTCTGTGGAACACATCTGGCTCTTGTTTTCCAAAGAAACAGGCCTGTTCTCCCTCCTAGCCAGGTCACAGTGAGATGGCCTTCATCATTCTTGCTTCACAGCCAGAATCCATCGCGTTTTCTATTTGAATTCCATCTGTACTTTTATGGCTATAGGCTTTATATCTTGGTGCCTCCAAAAGTAAGCTCTGGTCTCTCACAGAACAGAAAACGTGCACCTTGAGAAAGGCAGTGACGTTTGTAAGCCCCAGGGGTTTCTTCTTGAATCTAGACAAAGTATTTTCCTCTTGTTCACCGATCTCTTGGATGGAGAGAGGTGAGGGGAAAAACTGCACAAGCCCACACGTTCTGATCCATGCATCCTTTATTCCATGGCCAACCGCTGTGCTGCATCCAAGCAACAGAACACAAACTGGCAATCAACCGCAACCCAGCTGTACAACAATCTGAGGCTGACAGTACATTTAAGGCTTTTAAATTTGGGGGGGAAAAAAACTTCAAAAAAAATAAAACCAAAGAACCCCCAAACCCAAACCCCCAACCAATACAAGCAGTGTAGCAAGCTGAAGCATCTTACATTTCCGCTGCTTATTCGGCGCAACTCCAGTGTCAAAACCCAAAGAATTCCTCAACTAAAAGATTAGTTTCGTGAAATTTTAATTACATAAGTTCTTCAAAGCATAAACTTGTAATTTTTTTTGTCTTGGAAATGTTATAAAATTTTTTAATAGCAAAACATAGGAATAAAAACAGATTAACAAAATGTATTCAATCATTTACAATACAAACAAGGAAATCTGCAGTTTGTTGGAGCCTGACAAAAGAAAACTGCCCATTAAGAATCTATGCACAATGTAATTGCAAATATGTACAGTACTTTAAAAAAGCCTACAAGGAGGACTTTACAGAAGGAAAGTCGGCTAGGCTCTTTGTTAGACCAACCAGACAATCAAAATATTAAAACTCTGTGGGGACTGGTAATAAATTTACACTTAAAAAAAACCCCAGTTTCCTTTTGTTTAAGAATATTCCAGTTATATTTATATGGTTCCAGTTGATGAAGCTATTCATGATAGTTCCAGTAAACTACCCTTTAACTGATTTGTTTGGGGGAAAGACCAGCAAAAAAAATTAACAAAGATTAACAAAGGAATTTTCATCACAATTGTTTTCCAGTTACACTATCACAGCTTCACAAATGGATTGAACTCACAAATCCAGTGGCTGAAAGAGAGCTGCAGGTCAAATACTGAGAACACTGGTGGAGAGAGGGTGGAGTCCTGCATACATGAATCCTAAGTGATGGGCAAGGTAGACAGGTATGAGCATCCTTTATAGAGCACAAGAAAACGGTCCCCCTGCTCAGCTCTCATTCCCATTCTGCAAGGCAATGAAGCTGGAAATCAGACTGTTCAGTTTAACATGATGTGTGAGTTAGCAGAACCTCTAGGTATGAAAGACTGAGAATTCCTCAGCTCTTTGCTTAGGATGCCCTGAAAGCTGAGCACTTCCTCGTGGTTATCACGCCATGACCGCTATCCAGTTAAAGCATGTGCAAAACAGAGGACTCCTGTGTTCACGGTAATGAGGTAAAATCAAGTGGTCTTCAGGAGTTGGGAAGTTCATGAGATATGAACTGCTTTAGTCTTTCTAGGTACTGTGCGTAAAGCTCTATGTCGTTATGCCCGGCCCCCTCGACCCAGAGGGGCTCCACGGCCCGCGGACAGCGCTCGTACATCGCCAGGCCGTGGGAGAAATCAATGACCTCGTCCTCCGTCCCGTGGATGACCAGCACGGGAGAGGTGACTTTAGAGATCTTGTCGATGCTGCAAGAGAGAGAAGGGGAGGGGGAGAAAAAGGACTCCTTTAGTCATGCTCACAGACAGCAGACATCCCACTTAATGGAACGGAATCGGCATCCACAGGCGAGGAAGGTAGCACTCTGGAGAGTTTCCGGTCTCATTTTTCTAGTAATTCTTTTTTTTTTTTTTTTAAATAGGCTTTTCGGGGGGAGGGTATATAGCTCAAGTTGCAGAGTGCATGCTTAGTATGCATGAGATCCTGGGTTCAATTCCCAGTACCTCCTCCAAGAATAAATAAATAAACCTAATTACCTCCCCCACCAAAAAATAATAGTGATAATAATAATAATAATAAGCTTTTCATTTTGTAATCATTGTGGGTTTACAGTAAAGTTGCAAAGATAATACAGAGCCCCTATCCGCCCCTAAGCCATTTCCCATAAGGAAACATCACCACTGTACATTTGTCAAAACCAAGAAACTGACTTTGGTACGTTACTAAACTCCAGACTTTATTTGGATTTCATGAGTTTTTCCACTGATGTCCTTTTTCTGTTCCAAAATCCAATTGAGACTACCACACTGCATCTAGCCACTGTGTTTTTGTTAAGTATTTTATTAAAAACAGAACCTCTAAACGTCATCAGACTAGCAATCCAGTAACTAACAGTTCTGACATATCCATATTTTTGAGACAGGATTTTTAAAAAAAATAAACAAGCTCAAGCTTAACATATCTGGATAAAGGTCTCTTTGGAAAGCTGAGCCCCTAATCCATGGCTGCTCAAGTTTTTAGAGCTCTTACTGCAAGAGCTATTTTCAGAACCAATTAACAAGATCCTCATAAGCCTCATTTCATAAAAAACGAATACTTCATTTTTAATAAAAGCTGTACTATTTAGCTTGCAAACTTCATGTAATGCCTAGGTTTGATTCTGAATGTTTTTGACTGTTTACAAAAATCAAATCTACCCTCAACGGATGAGTATTTGAGAATCTTCACAAGAACGTGCTGCAGGCTGTAAAAGCATTTCCCACGGAAGAATCCACGAGACTGCAGGCCGTGCTGGGCTGGGTGTGCAGACCACCTCTCTGATGGAGGCAGATGTCATTTCACCTACGTACACGTTGGGAGAGGTGAACCTCTGCCCAGTCTGTCCTCCTGCCAGAGTCCCCCCAACAGGTGACTTCTCTTTCTGTATTGTAACTTCTACCAAAGTTGCAAACAGATGTGAACTCGTACTCCCCTCAGAGACTGCTTTGTTAGAAGTAATAGCTAACATTTATTCAACACTGACCAGGGCCAGGTGCTTCGTACTTGATGTACAAGACCTCATGTAACCTTCCACGGGACACGACGAAAGGGGCATAGACCACCTCTGTTAAACCAAGGAGGAAACTGAAGCTAGGGGGATTATTAAAGAACAGGCATGAGGGTGTGGAGATAGCACAGAGCTCTGTACTATCGTATGGTATGTCTGTCGTATGGCCTTATTCACAACTCACGAGGTTGCCAACCACCTCAAGACGTTCGGGAAGACTGCAAAATCTCATCAGCGTGTAACTCGCCAAGATGCAGGCCAGTGTGGCAGGAGTCAATTCTGCAGATTAGGAATCTTGCTTAGACACCTACCTTCTTCCTATATTTAATTTTTAAAGCGACTTCTTCTTCTAAGAATGCGAGAGTCCAATTATATTCAATTAAAAAGATATTTACTGACAGCTCTACGCTGCACAGTTTGGGAGAATCTCTGCAGCCTGCAGGGTGTGCCTGAGGTTAAATGCTGCCATCTGATTCTAAATGTAAAGGCGGTATAAGAAAAATAAACCACCAATCAAATGGTGAGCAGGACTCATTTATTTATTTATTTTTCTAACATGAAAAAGGAAACGTGAAAGTACCTTCCTTTAAAGAGAAGGACACAGAGACAATTCATCACTTGGTAGCAATGGACACCATAAGAACACATTTTCCAAATTCAGTTAATCATGAAAGGCAATGGTTTGAAATCTATCATATTCAGACTTTATGGTATCGAATAGGAGGAACGGCCTTTTCTGGCTGTCTCCACTCACCAACCTTCAGTAACCAAACTGCTTGACTGTCTAAGCCTCAGTTTCCCAATCTGTAAAATGAGCCTTGTGAGATAAGAAGGGTGAAGTGTTTAGCCCATGACTGGCAGATCAGATAGACCCAGGAAAGACTAGTTGCTGGTTTCCTATTAATTAATAAGCTGTAATTAGCTGCCGTGATTGTATTTTAAGGTATGCTAATTTAAGGGTCAGGGGAAAAACCTATTCATTTTGTTGCCAGGGTAACTCCTAGCATAGCTTCCCACAAACATGCTAAATATCTCCCTTTCAACAAACTAGCCTCTCATTACCCATTCAGCACAAATAAGGCCACATTTGAGACACACACGAGCCCTGCTTAGCATTCTCAGCCAGCCTGCTGGAAACCTGCAGCTCACTCAACTTTCCCATGAAGCTGAATTTCACTGAATCCCGGTACAAACTGCACAGAAGTGAAGTTCACCCAAGGTGTTAAGAGGTTTCTTCTTGTGAAACGAGACAGTCTGTGCCACAGATGTTTATATAACTAAATGCTGTTCCTCCCCGCCCCCAGCAATAACAGAATGACAGCAATTAATGAGCCAATCAAAATGCTAAAATTGTACATATTTCTGCTGAGACTTTTTCTACAAGATGGCAGTGTGAGTCCTGCTGTAAGAATCTGGGACTGCTTTAGCAATGTACCGAGGGCAAAGCTTAGGGGGGTAGATAGCTTTTAGTAAATACTTTCCTCAGCTTAGACGTAAAAAAACAAGCAGAAGTTTTCCAAGGGAGGTTTTCAAGAAGGCAGCGTGCTTGCTGCTGCTGCGTTTGTAAGGCAGCGGCCCATGTTTCTTCCTGGTACCGGGGAGCTAGGAAATAGCAGGGCCCGGCCGGCAGGGGAGAGGCCCGGCCAGGGGCGCTAGTGTGCACACCCCAGCGGGGGGCGCAGGCCCTCTGCAGCGGGGGCACATGGGGGCCGGCAGGAGGAATGAGGGGAGTCAGGGGGCTGGGACTGCAGGGGAGAGGAGGGGAGTTGAGGGGAGGGGGAGGACCGTCCATTCTACACTGTCCCTGTAGCCCGTTACCAGCCTGAGAGGAGCTCAAGTCACCTTTTCTCTTTGACTGAAAAAGTAAGAGAAATTTCAAAATTGGGGATATTGGAGGTTTTTGTTTTGTTCTGTTTTGTTGTTTCTTTGGTTTTTTTTGAGTGTCTAGACCACTGCTAGTTGCCTCATCACAGATTTCACATTTAGCTCTTGGGTTTGTTTTTGGTTTTTGGGGGGAGGGGAATTAGGTCTATTTATTTATTTATTTTTAGTGGAGGTACTGAGGACTGAACCCAGGACCTCATGCCTGCTAGGCCCGCACTCTACCACTGAGCTACACCCTGCCCCCTGCATTTAGCTCTCGTGATTCAACAATGCACGTGCATCTGATTGAACGAACAAACACCCAACCAGAAGTTAGTTCCTTTAGGGCGTGTGGTACTTTTATTTTCATCCTGCACAACCAGCTCCACCTCCCCTGAGCAGCCCAACACAGGGGCTGACGTACAGATACATCCAAGAAAGATTTATTAGCGGCCCACAATGAACGGTGGCATCAGATCTGAACGTGGGCACTGGATGCCTTAGCCCTTGTTGTACACGTTTAGCTTACCTGGGAAAAGCATCAAAGCAGTACGTTTTCCTGGTATCCGGAAAAGCCACGCGCAACCCAGACATGAGAGGCGAATGGAGAATCACGGCTGCACACTCGTACCTGGAGGCCAAGTCTACCGTGGGCACAGTCCCGATGCTCTGCCCGTACAGGATGATGTTCTCCGGACTTACGCCGTACCTGGAGGAACCAGAGGGGGCATGCCATTAGCTGACGTGTGGGAGAAACAGAGACACAAGAACCATGATATCAGAAACTCAGAAAACTCCCACGTCTACCAGCTTAAAAAGTCACATCCTCTAATGTATATACTTTAGCTTAAAATGGATGAGAACTTCACAAAAATGTCAGGGGCCCATCTCAGCACTAAGTGACTGAGATTCTGTCTTCCACTACTGCTGCAAAATTAATGATCGTGACTTCTTTTTTCTGGAAATTAACTGTATAACTGCATTATAAATTTCATTTCAGTGTTTACGGAGTCATCCCATTTCCTATTCTTCCCTCTTTAGAGTTCCTTTGATAATCCTAAATGTATTTCTGAAATAAAAACAAAAGCACCTTTGCCAAATTATAATATTAAGAGCACTTCAAGTGAGGCTTTAATAAAATATGAAAGATATTAACATTTATCATCAGAAAAAGGTACTGGGAACCAATGAATTTAGAGGCAAATATATTTCCTGTAGCCTCTCCTTGGGGCTTAACCCTTCTGATCTTTCAATCCATGGATGGTCTCCCACTCCACTGTCTTCCAACGTTTAACTGGTAAACAGCCCTGTGAATCACAGATTTCATTTCCTGGCCTCCCTGGCAGCCTGGTGTGTGCAGAGAACTAAGCTTCGGGCGACGGGATGTGAGCAGGAGTGACACATACAGACTGCAGGTCATAACTGTAAACAGACGCCTGGGCCCCCCCCCAATTCCTGTTGGGGGTTAGAAGACACCATGGGGAGCTACCCTGGCCCACTCAGAAGAACGCGGCACCCCAGGTATGGTGGTGGAACAAAACAGAAGGACCCCAGGAAAATGGCTACTTTACTCATTAACCTACAGTGGATACCCAGAATATATAAAGAGTGCCCAGAAATAAAAAAGAAAAAGACAAAAGAAACAGACATATTATAGGGAAGAGAACACGAATGCCTAATAAACACATAACAAGATGTGATGCCCAACCCTGTCGGTACATGAACGTGCAAACTGAAACCACGAGTTACTATTTTATACCTAAGGGGCAAAACCCCAAGAGCCGGACACCATCAAGGGACAGCAAGGACATGGACGAGAACTCTGTGACATTGCCATGAGAGTATAATTGGTACGAGTGCCTGGGAAGATAATCTGATATTATCCGGCGAAGCTGAAGCCTGTGACTCAGTGATTCCACTGGTCGGTATAAATACCCGCCGCAGCTTGCAGGGCGATGGGCCGCGCTTTCTGATGACAGCCTTCAGTGAAGAGAACCGTCAATCCGCAGCTGGGGGCGGGGTGGCGGGAGTTCAGCCTAGCCCCCCCCCCCGGCTCCCTGAAACACCACAGGGAAATGAGGGCCTTTAGGAAGGAACTGAGGGACGGATGGCTGTGCTGTGAGGGGCAGACCGGAGCCGGACACGTGGGGTAAAAGGACTGTGTCTGAAAGCAGTGTCAGCCACACAGGGCTGGCGGGGGGCTGGGGGTGTCCAGGGAGCGGCTCGGGTCAGGGGCTGTGGGGCTGCAACAGAGCCGGGCAGGCCCGCAGGGAACATGTCTAGGGGGAGCTTGAAGGGGAAGGGAAGGAGGTAGAGCGCGCCCCAGAGAAGATGAGGGGCCGCTGGAGGCGCTCGGGACAAGGGGACAGGAGCAGGGCCACGCAGGCTGGATGACAGAGCATGAAAAGGAAGCCGGGAGAGAGTTAAGGGACGATTAAGACCCCTACAGGGAGGAGGAAACAGAAGAGTGTAATATGTTGAAAACAAACACATCACCAAAAAAGAGGCACCCTCTCCTCCCTGGACACAGGGAAAGAAATTGCTGCTCAGAATGAGGATCCACCCTCTCTCTCTAAAGCAACGTCTCGGTATGGCCCTGGCCCCTGGAACCTGACTAACACAACCGTGCTCATGGAAGAGGCTCCCAGGATGCAGGTCTCGTCTGGTGCTCTTGCCTGGGCTCCATTTCCACTGGAAGAACAGGTTATTAAAACATGGTTGGCAAAAGGGGGAGGGTATAGCTTAAGTGGTAGAACGCATGCCTAGCAGGCGCAAGGTCCTAGGTTCAATCCCCAGCACCTCCTCCAAATATAAATAAATAAATAAATAAATAAATCTAATTACCTCCCCCTCACAAAACGAACAAACAAAAAACCATGGTCAGCAAAAAGGGCTTTGATGGAAGTTTGAGGAAGGAACCAATGGCTGCAGCATCCTGTGTCCTACATCCCCAAGTCAGAGACCACGGGCAGTAAAACACAGGGCCCCTCAATGAGGACGAAATGATGAGAGATGTCAGAAAGGAGCCCTGTTCCAGTGCATCCACAGGCCATCGCCAGGGAGATGCTTTTTATGGAAGGAAGTTATCCCAGGAAACTCCCTCCGCTGCAACAGCCCCTGAGTCCCTTCTCTGATGGACGGGGAGGTCCATTTCAGCAGGAGTTGTTACTGAGAGTTCAAAGTCCCCTGAAGAAAGAAGTATAAATAAGATCAGAGGTCACCTCCTCCCTCCACAATTTTCATCAGAAGTAGTCACCCCCCCCAAAAAGGGGGGGGGAGAATAACTAAAAAAATTTTTTTTAAATAATAATAGAAAGGGAAAAAGGAAACCCGAAGGCAGTTATTGAAGGACAGAGGATTAAGAGGTGATTAACACTAAAAATCAAAAATAGAGTGAAAGACTTCCAGGTTGAACTAGCATCAGACTAGCCTCTACCTTCTTGGATCAAATCTGAAGAACGATGAGAATTATATAGGATAACTCGTCACAGAAAGGCATGTTATCAACTTTTCAGTATCCTAACACTGTTCTGCACAACACTCCATGGACCTCAGGGGCTGCCCTGAACAAGTGAGGGAGAAACGGGCACAGACGCAAGGACAGAGGCGGGTGTGCGGTTACTGGCACAGGCAGCCTTTTCTCTTGCGTGTCCTGAATCTGTCCATCCGCCGAGATCAGGGTCTCCTTTTATTTATGTCATGGTGAAGCCTGAGCGTTTCACCAAAGGACTCTCAGCCTTTAGCTTTTCATTCACGGGCACCAGGACACATTACCAAGTCAACAGATTCCACCTTCGACACACAGACAGTCATAACCTTAATGACAACAAACACTTTTTCACTGAAAAACTTCAATACGTAAAACACTAGCCATAAGGGGAAAAACACGACAAATTGTGTTACATTCAAATAATGTACTTCTGGTCATCAGAAGATACCGTTAAGAAAGGAAAAGGCAGATCATCAAGTGGGAAGATATTTGCCACATGTGTAACCAACAAAGGGCTCACATCTAGAATATATAAAGAACACATCAGTGGGGATATATATAAAGAACAACTACACATCAGTGGGGGGAAAATGACCAAATACAGGAAAACAGCATGTTACAAAACGGGAATTTCATAAAAGAAGAAATCTAAATGGCAGGGAGAGAAGAAAGGAAGGAGGGGAGGGAGGGAGGGCTGTGCAACTTCATGAGTGAAAGGAGAAACGCAAATTAAAACCACAGTGTGACACTAACGTACGTTTACAAGTTGACTGTACCACGTGTTGACAAAGACATGAACCACAGGAACTTCCATTCACTGTGGATGGAGGTGTGAACTGACAGCACTTTGGAAAAAGTAAACATGCAGGTGTATTAACACAGACCCAGTGACCCCGCAAGTCTACTCCCAGGTGTACTCCCCACAGGTAGGCGCTCACTCACGACTGTCTGAGGGCAGCTGGAGACAAGCCTAATGTGTGTCACCGGCAGGGTGGGTAAATGAACGGTGGTGAAGTCAGGCCATGGAATGTCACACAACAAGGCTGATGCATCTTCAAGGCACAATGTTAAACCAAAGGGGCAGATGCCACACAACACATGCTGTATGGTACCATTCGCAAAAAACGTAAACACACCAAAATTAAATGTTATGGTTTAGGGATATTTAATTGAAAGAAAAGCAAGGCAGTGAAGCCCTAAGAACCAGGGTGGTGGTTAAGGACGGCGAAGGGGGAGGGTTATGGCTCGGAAGAAACATGTCTTTTTTGCTGGAGAGGGAGGGAGGTTACAGAACCCTGGTCTTGTCTCTAATGAACCGTTCATTGCTTTTACCGTTCATTAAGCTGAACACTTACATTTTATGAACATCCCTAGGTGGCTATATTCTGTTATATTTTGTAACCAAAAAAGACCCCACATTTTTAAACAGTTCACACCAGATATTTCAGATACGGAGGCAGCGCTCCCCACCCTCGAACTGTTACAAGTCACGGTAGATTTTGTGCTAAATCAAAACCTCAGAAGGAAACACGAAGCTGTTAAAAATTATGTCTCATCAAGAGTTAATGTGGAGAAAACTCATGTTAAAACGTTCCACCAAAAGCAGCCTACAAAAAACAGGGTCACAATTATGTCCCTTAAAACAGAATCTATACGTGGAGAAGGAACTTGAAAGCAATACCTTACGATGATGATGATGGTTACCTTCAGGTGGTGAGGAGACCGGGTAATGTCTCTTCTCTGAAATTTTCACTTCTCATTTCCTTTAATTACTAGGTAGTCATTTGTTAAAAGTAAATAAATAGAGGAAGCCGTCTTGCCGGACCTTCTGATGTGGGTCAGCCAGCACTCTGCTCATGGCCAGGGTCCCTGCTCTTCCAAGGGCTTTGAAAACTGTAAAGTGCCCGTGAAATGCTTAGATTTGTTAGTGGTACGTGAAGGACTTTTTCACCGCCTTTCCCCATCTCTGTCACACGGTCTGACAACGAATGATCTAGGGAGGGAGGGATGGGGTGAGACGGCCAGTCCTTTGAAGGTATGGAAGATTTTCGGAGGAACGCTCCGAGGCCTCTCCCCCAAACCCCCGGTACAGATGAGGGCACTGCAGGGATTCCTTTTCACTGTACTGCTAGGGTGTTGCTTCTGATGGGGAAAAAAAAAAGGTCGATTGATGCCTTCAACACCAATGGTTCCAAAATAAGAAGTATCTGACATTCTGA